ACGCGGATTCGACGGGAATCGGAATCTGAAACGTTCCCAACGGCGATTGGGAGGACGTAGTAGGTCCAAGCACTGTCCAAGCGCCGAACTGAATGGGTGGGTATCTGAAACGCTTGGCGTCAGCCCTGATTCGGCCGGACCTAATTCTGTTCCCAGTGGGGATTCGGAGGAGCATGGCTGGTAGAGGAGATACCAATAAGTAGAACGGTTTAGAAACCAGCCGCCCTGCTTAGTTCGGTTTGGACTCGGACACTGGCGGCATACTTCGATCCTGGGCCCATGAACCATCGTCCTTCACTGTGAAAAGATATTACGACGCTGATTCTTCTCCCTCCGAATATTAACAAAAGGGATTCGCGCATCTAAAATCTATCAGCACAAGCGAGTACGAGTGTCAGTCCGCCTGACTCGACTCGGAAGATGGGGTAGGTAATTTGGACTTACTACAGTCCGGAAGGAGTCCCATCGCAAGCGAGAAGGAACTCAGCAAGAACGCTCCATAATTAGAGAAGGTTGCTGCTGCACCGCGGTTTGGGGTCGAAGGTCCGTGCGTTGGCGTGCTCAAGAGAACGAACTTTGGCAGCGAGTTCGGCGAGTTGAGGAACATGTTCTGAATGGAAAGTGACAGTGTTGTCATTGACCGGGTCTGACCGGGTCTGTCAATAGGATCAGGTCAATGGATTGACCATTGACCCTTTTGATTGACGTCCTCAATGGCCGCTGCTGCCCTTGGTGGAACGTTGACGCTGACAAAATTGTTAAGTCAGGAAAAAGGGGCGGGTCAGTGCACTTAAGAATATTTTTGATGGATTCGTCTGTGACCGGTCATTGACGGGGTCCGTGCATTGACAGGTCAGTTCCATTGACCTTTTTTGACCTTTATTGACTGACCCTGACAGCACTGGAAAGTGGCGATATCGATTTGAGTGTTACTGACAACGGCATATCGTGGAAGGAGAAAAAGATGGAAAAGTGATGGGATCGGCGGAACATTCGGGCCGGACTCCTTCTCTGCAAACGACATCCAACATCGAACGACAGCTCATCGCTCGTTCTCGGCGAGGGTCTCTCTACATATGCCGCTGGTAAGGATGAAAAGCATCACAGCTAATTTGAATCAAAGCAAGGCGCGCAACCCGAGCAAGCGCTGGACGACCGAAGTTTCTTCAAATTCGGGCTCTCTCACCTCATTCCTTTCCTCCGCTCTCGAGCCACTAGATAATTGGGGGTTCTATTTTTTGTTTGCTAACCTTGGCAGTCGATCCTATTCTCGGACAGTCTTCTGTGGTACGAAAAAGTCTCAAAGCAATTTGATAAGCGAACGAGTTGTAGACTGCCCGCCAGGCGGATTATCGGCGGCCGAAATTGCTCTCTATACTGAAACCTGACGAGGCGAATGCTGATCTCAATACAGGAGATGTGACTACTTCAGGAAGTGCACCTGCTGTGATCCCGGCTGAATCCCTCATCCTTCCTGAGCCGAATCTAGGCGCTCCGTTGCACCGGATTTCTATGCCACCATCAACTAGTCCATATTCATACTCTGCCTGTGCTAGTCTAGGATGCGTATTTCTCCTTTACCAGTTCGCGTCGAAATTCATACCTCCAGCCACCGATGGAGTCTCAAAACGGCTGAATCTTCACCGACGCGCAAACCCCACCCTGGCGTCAAGCATCATCCATGTTGAATTAAACCCTCTCAAATCCTTGGATCGGTTCTTCGAATTCATGACTCGTAAGCCTTGTGCGTGGTATGGGGAGTTTTTCTTCTTTTTTTTTTCGAATAAGAGGCCTCATTCTCTTGAGGGTTTCAGCTCGAACGGCACTTTTTTTTCCCTTTTCGCCTCCCCAAATGCTGCCCGAACTTCGGCTGCAAGTTTGGTTCAGAGTCTTTTTGCCCAACCTGCGCAGAACTCCACAACGGTGAAAGACATGCGAGTCTGCATGATTTGCTTCACAGATTGGAGAACGAAGAAGGAGTGACATTAGCTTTGAAACCCAGGGGCTGCATATTCCACCCGGTCCCAAGTTCCTGTGCTGACTCTTGGTTTCAAATGAGCAATCGGCGGGTCCATAACCGCCCTCACGTACAAGAAATACAAGAGCACCGAAGCACAGACAGCCTCGGACATCCTGCGCGCATACCCTTCCTCAAACAAAGCCAGTGGAGAACCCAGTTTCGACTCCGGGTGTCCGAATTCTGTATGAGAGTGCGAGCGAGTTTTGCTGAACATTTGCTTCCTTCATGGCTTATATCTCCATTTTCAGAGTTGACAAACGGATCTCTACGATGTCGATTGAATGTGCTTCTACAGATCCATGGCCTCGATGAGCGGCAAATTCACAATGTCCTAAAGCGTGTATGTATCTATATAAAGTCCAAAGGCTCAAGCGCGAAAAGATCCCAATCGTTTTCCCTTCCGATAACACCTCACTCGTAATCGCCGTCCTCACCATCGTCCTCAAGCCCGAACTTGATCAGGTCCGCCAGAAACGGCGACTCGACGCTGGGTCGGGCCGCGGGGATATCCAGCCCCGACGAGTTGCTCAGGACGAAGTTGTACAGCAGTGCGTTGACTCTAAAATTCTGACCGTTAGCCAAAAACGGCTCGGGATGCAGCGCAACAAACGTGCTCTTTCGGATGTGTAACGTTGCCAAAGTGCGGCGCCCCTTCGACGACTGCGATTTTAGCGTCAAGGCCCGCACGCCGGAGCAAATCCAAGAGTTCTTGGGAGTATTCGATGGGGTACGCGATGTCCGCCCCGCAGTGGACGAGGACGACCGGGCAGCGGACGCGCTCCAGCGTCGATACGGCATGGGGATGGCGGTTTACGAAGAATTTCACCGTGACGGTGTGGAATTCGTCAAACTTTCCAGGGGCCCACCGTTCCATTATTTGGGGGAAGGAATGGGAGGTGATCCTTGAGAAATCGTCAGAGAATTCGCGGTTAAAATGGAAGGGTGCTGACGCCTTGCTCAGATTTGTCTCCTGGTTGTTGTACGCGAGCTGCAGCGCGCCCGTCAGTGCGTCCGTCAGTGCCGTATCGTCCACGCCTTTTGGATCCTGATAGCCTTGTATCCAGAAATCATAGATTTCCGTCCTGCCTTCTGCAGTCTCAGCGGGCTACAGATTTGGGACATCAGTTCAAAATCCACGAGAAAATATGTCAAACGCACTTCAGTCAGGGGAAGCGGGGACAACATAAACAGCGAAAGCACTCTCTCCGGAGCAAGGATCGCCATCTGCAGCGCGATACACGCGCCCATGGAGACGCCCATGACATGACAAGGAGGGAGGTCCAGCGCTTTCTGCAGGGAGTCAATCTCACCAAAGAAAAGTGCTCCCACAGCGAGGGACGTACCATGAGGTTCAGAACATCCCGGGCAGCGGTCTCCCGTCCGTATGTGTCTTCCACTTTGGCGGACGTCGTACCATGGCCTCTGAGATCCAGTGTTACCAGGTTGAACCGCCGAAGTCGCGGGTCAGCAAACACCGCTATGTACCTTCAATTTCAGCAATTTCCGCTACACATCCAGCCAAGCACGCACGGTGAAATAGTGTCGACGGGGCATAGACTGGGTGTATCAGCACGACCGTCGGGATGTCAGGGGTTATCGTCTTTGCTGCGGCGTGCGTAGGAGATGATATATTGTAGTGAAAGGCGCCCGGCCCTGCGAGGGTATCGAGGTCGATGAAGGGCATATTGGATGGAAGCAACAGTGCGTTGCGGGGTTTCAAATTCTACGCCACCTCCTGATGTGGATTTAGGGGCTGTAACCAGTGCAGCACCTGCGTCGATGAAGGGCATATCGGATGGACGTCGCGGAGTTTCAAATTCTACACCACCTCGTGCATTTAGGGGCTGTAACCAATGCAACACCCCTGGAAAGAATGATTTTGAATTACATAACCTGGCACGCGCGCTGTTGCAGACTCGTAACCAACAAATGTGGCGAGCATGTTACGGCAAAGTGCTTGCCACATTTTTGCCATTCGTAGGCAGGCTGGTAACGAGTCTACCACGGACACAGAACGTCAATCGGTCTACAACGAGTACGACATTTGTAAAAGCCAGATAGGCTTCCTTCCCACTTCAAAGGAATTTACCCAAGAACGACATAATCACATCCGGCGAGGTGTAAGGAACACCACCACTTCCGGTCAGAGTTGCTTGAAAAAACCGGTGGAGAATCCAGGTTCGAGTCCTGGCGTCCGAGTACCATTACAGCACTCTTCCTTTTTTCGCTGATCGTGCCTTCAGAGTTCGTCGGTAATGGGGGAGAGACATGTTTATTCTCCACCATCCACCGACCTGATTAGAACCTCCCGACATCTAAATACTCTCGCTCTAGATGAAAAGGTCGAAGCCGAGGTACCGGGGCTCCCTCGTCCGATTCACTCAAATTTGTCTCGTACATTTTTGCACGCGACTTCGGCTGCCGAAGCCTGGGATTTGATTTGCTCCATGCTAGTCGGCAGCCAGCTGAAGTTCAAGTAACATTTCTGTTCCCACCGGGCCCATCGGCGCGCTCCAAACTCGGTCGCACGTAACCAATGCACGACATAGTGCCTACTTCGCTCGATGAACCGAGCGCTCCCTGGTTCAAAAATCTGACTAGTACCGTCTTGGAAGAATTCGTCTCTTGCGGGACCTGGGTGGTTTCAAAGCTGGACTGTGAGATTCTGGGTACAGCATTTCAATTCTAATGGGCTTTGGAAGTCCGAGAGGCCCTTACCTTTGGCTTTGTTCACGAATATTTTGTTCCTGCGACGCAACGTACAACTAGCGTCGTTTTACAAAGAATGTCCCAGGGTCGCAATGGATGGTATGTATTAGAAGGAGAGCTCGCCGCCTCGTATTTCTGCCGTGAAAGGATGCGTCCGAGTCCGCGGGCTACTTGCACGTCCGATTTCTCGTATGGATTGGAACCTGGGCCTCAGATGAGAATTTAATTTGAAGAAGAAAAGAAAAAGAAAAAACAACACAACATCGTCTCATTCGGACGCCGGGAGTCGAACCCGGGGTTCCCGCTGCGTCCATTCGTGACTCATTTTGTAGATAAAGCGGGCGCGCACCGTGCACCACGTCCGAGTTCATATAGGGGAATCGAACCTGAGCTGAGGGCACGATCTAGTGAGGCGTACCAGGTTCCATAAGACAAGACAATAAGAAAAGCTGACAGCAGGTTAGCAGACGCCGGGAATAGAACGCAGAGTTCCGGCTGGTGAGTCGGACGCGCTTTTCTCAGATAGCGGGGGTACCACGTCCGATTTACTATGGGAATATCCAAGCAAGACTGAGCGAGGCGTCGTAGATCAAGGCCAGAAAAAGGAAATTGAAGGCGGGTAATTCGGACGCCGGGAGTCGAACCCGGGTTTCCCGCTGCGTTCATATTTCGCTCGTTTGACAGATAAAGCGGGCGTGCACCGCGCACCACGTCCAATTCCTATCGAGGATTAACCGTCACAGCTTTAAGGTACTGGGGTATCGGCTTCACACAGGAAAAGAAATATTAGAATCAAGGGACATCAGCGATTCGGACGCTGGGATTCGAACCCGGGGTTCCCGCTGTATAAGTGTATTTCTGCACGCTGGGCCCTGAAGATAAAGTGGGGATGCTGGGCCGTGCACCGCGTCCGAGTCGGTGTCCTTGTACAGGATTTGAACCTCTGTGTATATGAGCCAGCTTCAGTGACGTGCCAGTAAGCACGTTCGGAACCAAAAGGGAGCCTTTCATGCCTTAGAATTTTAAGTTGCCCGAAACAAAAAAGCAGTCTTTCAGTGCTACCTATTCGGACGCCGGGAGTCGAACCCGGGCTTCCCGCTGTGTTTACTGGACTGGTTTCGTAGATATAGCGGGCGTGCACCGTGCACCACGTCTGAGTTCCTGTAGAGGGTGCGCGCCTGAATATCTAGGCAAAATTTGGGGAGGCGAGGCGTGTCGCGTGCGAGCAAGGGAACAGGCGTCGGGTAACTCGGCTTCGTAGATTGCGAACCAGCTGCACACGAGCTGAATCGGTTCGAGGAGAATATCGAGCATACCAAGAGGCGTATGATGAGACCCCTAGATGATACTTACGGCAGGCAACTACAGCCCAAGATGGAGAATCAAGGTTGTGGCGAGATGAGAGTCTAAATCGGGCATCGGCTGACCAATCGCGGCGCGTTTGATCTCGACCACCATCATCTAATCGCAAAAGCGCGACCACGAGCTCAATCATCGTATCCATGGACTTTATACCTAAACTCGTCGCGTTCGAGCTTCCGCAATGGCTGAGACAAGGACGGGGACAAACGGTGGCCGCGATTTAGAGTCGGATCTTGGGTGCGATGTGGGCTTGGCTGAAGTTTGTCTCGCGCTGGTGCCGGAAGGCATTTAACGCAGCCACATGCCACTAATTATAATACCGCACCTTCTTCATAGTCCCTGCACAGTGACTGACCTGACGTCGTGCCAGCTTCTCTCCCGCAACGCACTTGACGTGTTGTGTCTGCGCTGCTCTCGTGCGACCCTCGTCCTTACCAGCGGCGAACACCAAGTAGATGACGAACAAAGACCCGCGACAAGCATCGCTGGCGGATCTCCTCCGCGCACGATATCTCCCTCCGTGCCCCGTGGGCTTCCAGGCGAGGCGTCGCCGCGTCAGACATCCCCGTGCTCTCATCCCTAGATACCCGTCTCCATCGCGGTGCGTATCCCCGTCCTCTACGGAGGATAGTAGCTGACGGAGCGCGTATCAGGTCGATGGCGGATTCTGGGGTATCAAAAGGCATTCCACGCAGGCGGACGTCGCTGATACAACTAGTACTAAGGCGCGTACCCTCTTCATCGCGATACTCCCCGCGCACTAACGCCTTGTTTTTAGGGCACTTGAGGCGCTGGGATCATGGTGTCTACGGCCAGCCCCCGCTGTCTGTGCCTCTCCCGCCCTTACGACCTTCTGTCCTTGCGCGCACCGAGCTCATGTGTCGCTCCATGGCCCGTGGAGGAAACACGACCGCGCAACCGGCTTGCTTCTTGACGGGCATCGCCCACAAGTGATCCGCGTCTTCTCTTCTCCTCGGAGGAGTACTTGAGCTGCATGTGCGCGCGATCATTATCCTGATGTTTCCAGTCCGCTGACGCGCGCGCCAGCGCTGCACAATGCGCTTGCCGCGCGGAGTCTTTGTGCAAGCAGAACGCCCTCTCTTGGGGCCGCGTTGTCCTCACACTGCTCGCAGGCTAGCATCAAGTAACGGCTCACGGCGCCGCGAGGGACGGCGCGTGCTAAATGGAGACGCCCGACGACTGGCGCGCGCATCTGGGTGCATCGCGAACGATCTATTCCCTAAGTCGACACGCGTCTCCATCGCGGTGCGTACTGCACCCGTGTCTTGTACGGCGAATGGTAGCTGACGGAGCGCGCAGACTGACTCCTCCTCGTTCTCGAGCTTGCCCTCAAGCAGCGCCGCGACCCGCTCGAGCGCTGTCGCGCACATCGTCAAGTCGGGCGCGCCTCGTCCGGTCTCAGCCCACGTCGCGCGGCGGCCGAACACATCTCACAACGGTGGGCATCCCCGTCTTCGACGCTGGCGGAGCGTGCGCAGACGAGACTGACTGCTCCTCCCAGACCTGCTTACCACGGTCCCGAGCCTGCACCCCATCCGCGCGAGCGCGCGCGTCGTCACGTTGGCCGGTGCACGTCGCGGGCGGCGGAGGTGCGTTTCCAGCTTCGGCGCCGAAATAACCGCTGAGCCTGCGCAGGAGGAGTATCGACTGGACGTACACGAGCGCAAAGGGAGGTCGGGCTGTCCTTTCGGTGGCGTGTACGGGTGTCGGACGTGCAGCCGCGGAGGGCCGCGAGCTATTCGGGGGCTCGTGGGGATCGGCGGCGGTCGAGATCGCGGACATCGGAGGGATGGCTGCATGCGGGAGGACGTGGGTGCGCCTCCGAGGGTGGCTCCTATGCGCATCCGGGGGACGCAAATGAGCACGCGGCTCCGCCTCCTCCGTTGCTGTTGGCTCCGGCGGGGCCGGGCTCGCGGACCGCCCTCGAGACTCGGAGCGTGGTAGTCCGAGCGTGAATCCGCGACGTGTCACGGTTTCTCATGGTAGGGCGGACGGGTGGACGCGTTTTTCTGGATGGCAAGGTCGCGGCCTCCGAGTCCGCACTCGTTGCTGGCACTGCGGGCGCTTCCAGCGTGGCGTGAGAGCTCGCCGGTGGGAGGAGGTCTTTCACGCGATGCGGCTGATACGCAGAGGAGGGTGTGGAGGGCGTTTTTGCCTCGACGCTCGTGGAAAGGATCTGCAAAAGCGAAACCTTCACGCGGATCTCCAATTTCTTCCCTTACATTCTCGCATATTTCCCAACCTTTACCCTGCTGCCCGTGCGCCCTGTGCCGAGATCAATGGGCAACAGCTTGAATCGGAAATTCTACTATGCGAGCTTGCAGAGTTGGAAGTTTGTTGATCTCGAACAAGGCAGTTGAATTCTGGCTCGGGTGGTTCTTACATTCCTTCCGGGCTGGCTATGTCTAGCCTTTACGCATCGCTTGCCAGTTTGCTAGTCAATCGCAGAATATGCCCCAGTAACGCGGAGTAGATTTATTTCTCCGTCCTTATCATAGTAGAAATTCCAATTTTCATCCGTCTCAGCCCTTGGAAGACTCGCATGGAGTCAAGTGCAGATATAGAGAAATAAGGTCCGGCGGCGCGTGGTGCGCACCTGCACTCCGCGAGGGTAAAGAGAGAGATCTCATCTGTCCGAATTTAATCTATTCTGGGAAGGTTTCTTCGGAGTCAAGCCACAGGGCCAAGTCCCTTGCGGCAACGAGTCGGCCTGCGAAGTCGCTAGCGCCCACAGCGTTCAGGTTGCCGAGTTCCCCGAGCTCATGGACAACACCCCGCATTTTTGTGGACAAAGAAACGTCGAGATTTGCGCTGAGCCGGTCCTCCCAGATGAGAATTTCCATTCTAATCCTTCCCCTCATTCCAGAAACTGTTTGATTCGAGGCTGACATGTCCCGAGTCGCAGGAGATTCTTCCATCTTTTTCTGATTGCGAAACCATCGAACTTGGTGAAGCGGTTGAGGATACTGATTTACTTACATTCAGTTCAATATCACGAACACAATTCTCACGATAATATGCGCAAGTCCTTTCCTTTTGAGCTTTGCACTGAGCACCTGAGCAACCACGAGCCTTTGAAACGAGCTGAGCCTTTCTCCCTTACGCATCTTACATTGATTTTGTGGCAGGGTCACGAATTCGGAGTCTGTTGCCGTGTCAGAACAAAGCCCTGAGCGCAGGGTCTCTGTGCGGAATCCCCAGAGCCTGGAGACGACCCCCCAAGTTATGAAGAGTCCATTTCGACCTCAAAGTCGAGTTCCAGATTTGCGCATCCTCCCGCGAGAGCTATGTGGCTGATAAATATTCTTCGTTCGCATGCTGGGAGTTGTCTTCACGATATGTTTTCAGAGTTGCATCACGCAGTGAACTCGATGCCGTTGAAATTCGAGAAGATATGAATTCTACTCTGGATTTTTGTGAACAAGACGGTGTCGAGATCCTGATACCACCAGATAAGGATATCATTTCTCTCAATTCCGATCCGTTCATTTCCTCGAAATATGCCTTCAATTATCCACTGAATGACACTCTTTTGCAGTATTCACCCAGCGACACTCGTGGGCACTTCGGCGTTGAACATGTAGAAAAAATTTAGGTAAGATCCAGGAATCTCGAGGGTGCAAACGGTGTGAGCTGGAGGCAAATCGTGTCAACCTCGGTAATATTCTTCTCGGTGCATAATCACTAGCAAACTCGAGGTTTTTGAGTGAGGTGCTGAGGCACCAAGCTGCCGACGTATGTAATGTCTTCAATGTGGTAAAAATACAGAGACGGATGCTTGCTCCCGGACCTTACGGGAATCTTTCTGCGTGATCTGTCGCCGCGGCACATCAGTCGGTTTACAGCGCCCTCACGAAAGAAAAAAAAAAAAAAAAAAAAAAAAACAGAAACATGACTTACCGACTGTCCTGTCTATCTCCGAAGGCCACACTCCTTCAGAGCTCCAAATCTGGACCTTCAAACCGTCTGCGACAACAGACTC